TCTCTGAAACAACTTTAATCCTTGTACTGATTGTACTTGACCAGCAAGGCTGAGCCGGCCCAATGGCCGGGCTCCAGGGACATAGCTCCCTGGACTCTGGTAGCACTGAGCACCTGACTAACCATGGCTCTTTCCTCTGACAAAGCATAATCTCCCTTGACCTTAACAAAGGACTTATCCCTTTGACATTGTGCTGAAATCTTCAATGTTCGACTTTCTCTGCAAATTATAGATGTGTCAATATGTAACTATGTTTTTCAAAGTGTTTCAACCTTCATAATTTCCTTGTACAGTTTGAAGTGTTCACCTATATTTGTCATCAGCATTGTTCATCTTTTTCTGTCTTCGGGAATATATCCATCCATCAGCGGTAAAATCTGTGAACTGCCTTTTTTAACAGTTATTTTATGTTTTGTCCCCTTTCGCTAGTCCCATAAAGGGGTTTGCTGGTGTTCCTGTAGCATTTCTGATGGAGAACTTCCACTTGAAATGCTAATTTCTCCTTTTTTCGAGATACTGATGGATCTACTTGGTAGACCATAAGACCATATGTATTTCTAACATTTCCTGTTTTTACTTTAGATTGGCAGCATTTCCTCTTTCTTTTACTACCTCTGTAATTCTGTAATGGTTCTTTCCTTCCAGGATACAGTGTAGTTACAGTAAAGGGAAAGAATGGGCAGCACTTGTACATAGCTGGAGCCCCTCGGCATAGTCAGACTGGACGAGTCCTTGTATTTCAAGCCGGAACATCTGTCAAAATAAAGCAACTTCTTGCAGGGAAGCAGGTTAGTTCATGATTAGAACTAAAGCTCAACATTGAAAAAGCATTGTTTTCTACAAAATTAAGTGTTTAGCTGCTGATTAAGTTGCTGATCACATCAATGAATTTAAGAAATTGTAGAATAAAATTCAAGAATGGAATTTTTCTGTTTCAGCTGGGATCATATTTTGGTTCAGAGCTGTGCTCTCTGGATATAAACAATGATAATGTGACAGATTATCTCCTTGTTGGTGCTCCATTCTTTCATGTACGAGGAGAGGAGGGCATGGTTTATGTCTACCAGCTCAATGACAAGGTATGAAATGGGGGGGTGATCCTCCTAACCGTGTATGTTTGAACCAAAGACAGCTGGATTGCTGCCTCAAGTGAATTTTGTAATGTTTGGAGTGGTGCTTTCTGGAGACAGCCTCTATTTCGCTGAAAGTTGAAACAGAAAGCTGAGCTCTGAATGAAAAAGGAAATAAAAGTTGAGGTCAAGGGATACCTGGAGGCAAAAATAGATATTGCTGGAAAAGCTCAGCCGGTCTGGCACTATCTGTGGACAGAAATTGGAGTTAACATTTTAGGTCGAGTGACCCTTCCTCAGAAGAGTGATAAAGTCTCCCTTGTCCTTACTTATCATCCCCACCAACATCCATGTCCAGAAGATCATTTGTCGCCATTTCTGCCACCTTGGTGAGATCTCACCATCAAACACATAATCCCCTTGCCAGCCTTTCGCAGGGACTGTTCCCTCTGGGACACCTGATCTGCTATTCTTTCACTCCCAACAGCCTCACGGCACCTTCTACTGCAACGGCAGAAGGTGTAACACTTGTCTGTTTACTTCCTCCCTCCTCAGGGCCCAAACACACCTTCCATGTCAAGCAGCACTTTACCTGCACTTCCCAGAATCAAGTCTACTGTATTTGCTGCTCACAATGTGGTGTCCTCTACACTGGGGAAACAAAGCATAGACTGGGTGAATGCTTCACAGAACACTTGCATTCTGTTAGCAAAAAAGACCCTGAAGTTCCAAATGCCTGCCAGTTTAACACACCACCTTGTTCCCTGTCCAACATCTCTGTCTCAGGCTTACGGTAATGTTCCAGCGAAGCTCAGTGCAAGCTGGCAGAACAACACCTCATTTTCCACTTGGGGACCCTGTAGCCCTCTGGACTCAATATCGAGTTCAATAATTTTAGGGCCTAAACTCTCCCATGTCCTTACCCCAACCCCCATATATCAGGCCTTGTTATCACATAGTCTGCCATTACACACTGCCTATTGTTAGCCACTAACAGTCTTCATTTACAGTTATTCACCCTTCTAGCCAAATTGTTATCCATGCCTTTGCCTGTCCAACTGTTCTTCTCTCACTTTGAACTCTATCCCCACCTGTCATTTACTCCTTACCCCTTCCGCCCCCCACCTTATTTTCTGCAAATAAACCAACATTTTCCAAGCTACCATCAGATCTGCGGAAGGGTCACTGGACCCTGAAATGTTAACTCTGATTTCTCTCCACAGATATTGCCAGACATCCTGAGCTTTTCTAGGAATTTCCTTTTTTGTCTCTGATTTGTAGCATCCGCAGTTCTTTTGGTTTTTATACTTGGATGTAGCTCTGCAAGGAATTGGAATTTTTTGAGCTCAGTAACTGTCCTCTTTTCCAATTTCTTTTGTTTTAAGATAAGGACAGCATAACCAAGACGCCATTATCAAATCAATTCCTTCTTATTTTGTAGAAGTATTTCACTTAACTCAGAAGCAAGGACATAATCATGAAATTTCTGATCAACTCCACCCTGTTGCACCTGTTACAAAAATAGTATAAATTCTTATCCCTGCATTGTTTGGGGTTCACTCCCAGCACAAACCTTCTCTGTGGGCCCAGAGATAATGGAAGGGGTAGAAAAGTGTAGCACAGCAGCAGATTTCTCAGACTTTGGACAATGGGACCTCATGGCTCCTGATGGATCTCGGTGACTTAAATTTTCTAATTAGACCATGATAACATCAGGGGAGAGTGATTCCATTTACAAAATTTACAAGTAAATCTCAGGCCTATGCTCGCATTCTTGAGGATTATACAAGAGACTGTGCCTTCTGCTTGCAGCCTTTCTATCTCTAGGCTTCCAGACAAGAAGCTGATAAGTTATAGTAGGAACTGCAGATGCTGGAGAATCTGAGATAACAAGGTGTAGACCTGGATGAACACAGCAGGCCAAGCAGCATCAGAGGAGCAGGAAGGCTGACGTTTCGGGCCTAGACCCTTCTTCAGAAATGGGGGAGGGGAAGGAGGTTCAGAACCTCAGTTGGACAGGAGGTTCAGCTTGGCCTGCTGTATTCATCGAGCTCTACACCTTGTTATCTAAGCTGATAAGTTAGTCTTCTTTCACTTTATTGGAATGACTGCACAGGCCGATGCGATGGAATATCGGGAAAGTTGCTCCTAATTAACTCTAAAAATTTAAAATTGAGAGCATTGAAACTCCAAATTTCCTGACTTTGGTCCATGGAAGCTTGTCATTTCTTGAATACTCTACCATTCCTGGAGTACTAGACAATTATTGAAGAACCTGAAATTTCTTGGCTACTGGAATTTCCCTGGAAATCTTGGCATTCCATGGAGTACTGAGCTTTCACTGGGATGCTGATGAATTGCCTGGTGTAAGGAAAATGAAACTCAGCACTGTATAATTTTCAAAAGTGAACCTCAGGCCCATGAAAATGTGTAAAATGTTTAAGATGCATGCCGATTCTTGGCTGAAAATAAAAAGGCTCTATGCAATCTGTTGAGCTATGAGTTATTGGTAGCAGTTGTTCTAGGTTTCCTTGCTATCTTTGCTGCTTATGTTTATTATTTTATTAAACAGGATACCTTTGAAGATAAGGACAGTTTGACAGGAATATCAAGTTTTACCAATGCCAGATTTGGAGTTGCCATTGCAAACATAGGTGACATCAACATGGATGGTTACAATGATGTAGCTATTGGAGCTCCTCTGGAAGAAGACCATAGTGGCAGTATCTATATATTTAATGGACATAAGGATGGTATCTACAAGACTTATTCCCAGGTAAGATTAGTTACAGAAATGTTACAGTGTTTGGTAGAGTCCAGGCTCTCCTAACATTTTTTGTGTTCATGTTGTAGGGCAGTTGCCTCCTTGTAACTTGAAACTCATTTGTAGTGCTGTGAACAGGAGTGATCCTCAGGGCGAGCAAGGATCCTTGACTTAGATTTCACCAGAGAAAAACATTACTATGCATAAACTAATTCAATGAGTAGAATTGTTCTCAGACATTGCCACAGAAGATAAAGAATCACAGCAGAATAAACAGAAATGTATCATTACTTTATCTCAACACTTCCTAACTGCCTAGCAATCAGACAGATCATTCTGTTTCCTTTGACTGAGTTTCAAGGCAGAAGCCTTAATCTGGTCCTTCCAGGTAATGGCATAAATAGTGGAAAGCTGGCTCCCTTTCTTCCAGCAAATTCCCTCTAACTTGATTGTTATACTGTATGATACTGTGCCCTTATTCTTGCTAACAGTCTGTGTCCTCTCCCTCTGCTGAATTAGTTTAAATTCTTTCCAAGAGCACGAGCAAACCGACTTAGCTTTCTACTTCAGCAGCTGTTTCTGTTTTCCTCTCAGTCTCCCTAAGTCTATGTGTCTCTGTATCCACAAAACCACTTGCCCCTCTTCAAGGTGTGAAAATGGACACCTGATTTTCTATAGGATTTGATTGCAGATCATAACGTGCCTGTTTCTACTGAGAGTTAGTGTTATCACAGTCTACATATTCTGGAAATGATCATGTTAAATAAAAGATAGGTAAATGTTAAAAGAAATAATCGAATTTGTTAACACTTCTGATACACTTTCTAATCTTTAAATTATTTAGCGAATAAGTGGGAAGGATGTTATGCTTGAACTTCTATACTTTGGACAATCAATATCTGGTGCTTCTGATGTTGATACTGATGGGATCCTTGATATAACAGTTGGGGCACGGGACAATGTTGTTGTGCTCAGGTATGTAGCCATATATAATACAACATCCTGTTAGACCATTTAATTATCTTCCTGATGTATTTTGTTTTCTGTTTTTAAAGATGCTTAGAAGGTGTGAAAATAGATAAGTCCCCTGGGCCGGATGGGATTTATCC